TAGAGATCAAGGTTTCCCCAGTGCTCCGCTCCAAAAAACACTGCTTTATCAGACATTACATGCAAGATTAAATGAAAATGACATCCATTTTTCATCCAGACAGTCGGTTTCCTTCAGAAATACAGTGATATAAAAACACCCGCACTCAATGTATGGGAAACACTGTAGTCTCATAATTGAAGAAGTGTAAATTCTGCAGATTACATCATTGTCCAGTATTGTACTGTCAGCAATTTATTATAAAAACGTTTTCATAATTGTAACATACATATTTACATACATAATTATTCAGGTGCATGTGTAATAACTTGCAAAAACTTGAGGCTGCAGCAGCACTTCTTCTTCGCTGTCATCTTGTCTGATGCACTCAACCAAGCGCTCTAACCACGACCTCGCCCCCAACCATTCAAATTTCTGTAGGCGGGAATCATTTGAATGATATTCTAATAGGCCGCTTTGTGCCCCCCAACCATTTAACCACGACCTCGCCCCTCCCCACTCCCCACTCCCCAACCATTCTAATTTCCATAGGCTGGAATTATTTTAATGATATTCTAATGAGCGGCTTTGTGATATCACAAAACCCGGAAAACAAACGAGCCGTTGGTTGTAGTACTTGAAAAGGGAACGAAATATCTCCCTTTGGAGTGGACTTTGAGATTTGTAAGTTTGAAGATCTTTTTTATGCCCAAACATACACACTACACACTGGCTAAAATTCAAAAAGTGAAAAAGCATAATAGGACCCCTTTAACATAAAATATATTTTAGCATAAAAAATGCCATATTTGAGTTTTTACTATAACTGAAGGCTGTAATGGTGTCTGTTGGTGAAACCCTGCAGAACCACCACATATGAGGACGTCCTCCTGGTCAACTAGTAAAGTCATGGGACTTGATGCCTGAAGACTAAACCTCCCTCTGTTGGTCACACTGTGGTACTGCAACAGGAAGGAAGCCAGTGGCAATGAGAGGAAACCTCCAGACAAAATACCCAAGAAGTCACAGTCGCTTCACTTCGGACCTTATGTGGACAAGAGCACATATGATTTTTTACAAAAGAATCACTCCAGTCTGGGATAATTTAAGTTTTACCTCAACTTGTTCATAGTTTTAACTTAATTCTGGAGGTTGCTAAAGGCAGCCCAGTACTGCCTCTTAATCTATACGGATAAAAACACTCAGACATTTTGAATTGGGAGAATATTAGACAGATAACAAACTGCACACGTGCAGGTGATGTGTACAGTAATCATTCCCTGAATGTTGATCCCACATGTTCATTCAGTGCACGTGATGTGGTGTGCAAGTGGGTCATCAGTGGCCAATACTGGGAGACAGTGGTCAGTGATTCATAACTATTGCTGTTTGTTCTGTTGGATCGTTTTTATGTTTTTTGAGTAACGTCTAGTCATGTGTAATGTCTGCATCCGAAGGAGACTGAACTGGCAGGCCTAAGCGAAAGATGAGGAGACCATGTGATTAAACATCTTTTAAAAAACAGGCTCTTATTCAGCATTTAGAGCAGAAACAGCACTCCCTGGTGTCATAATATCATCTCCACTTACCCATAACAAAAATACATGCTCTGCTAGCATCATTCACACCCAGAATGCCTCAGAAACGTAGCCTTAATTTTTTTCTGGTGTGTAGAGCTGGCTGTAATTTGGAATGTAATACCTTATTGTTGAATAGTATGACTTTGAGTTGCTTTTCTGTATTTTTTTATGAGCTTTTTACCAGTAATTCCATACTGATTCAATTTGTTTTATACGAAAATGGAATCAAATGCATACTGTAACGTGAAATCTTATTTTATAAATGATATTAGATAGCCTTAACCTTAATGATTTAGTATTTTATAGAGAAATACAGACTTTTACGGCCATCCTTCATCAGCTTTGTTTTAAAACAGAGGCCTTCAAGAAAGCTATTATTATAAGATTACTGCTGAGGTCATAGTGTTCTGTTACCATGGTGACATATTAGAACAATAGAACTCATCAAAAATGCTTGACCCATGCATGACTCTCACTTCAGAGGACAAACAAGCTTAATTTGATCTTCTCCGTTATACTTGAATAAATATTTGAATTCTGGGGCCTGTGCAAGCCATTAACTCAAGTGCAGAATAAGTGGGACCAATCATATTATTTTGATGTCAGCGGATGAATGATGATTTGATTTTCCTATTAATATTTCTGTTATTTTAATGTTTTATTTAAATTGTGTTGGCTCTGATGCCTTTGTTTCAAATGAACTTAAAGCGCACAATCTGCAAACAAACCACACTTTCTATTACTAACATGTGAAGCTACACAGTGATGTTGTTCAGAAAAGTCACATCATGTGTTGTCAGATGTATACCTGAAATATTTAATATTTCATTTTAGCCTGATAAATTGTTTTTTTTATGTTTTGCAGTGGAAAACTTGAGCAAATACTGCTGACAATGGCAGCACAAACATTATGTAGATAAAATGATGTAGAAGAATCTACTGACTTTTCAAAGTGGAGGATTTTTCATTTCTTGATTTCTCTTTCCTTTGTTTTAAACACATTGCACATTCTGTCCAAACTTTGGTTTTGACAGGGTCATATTTTTTTGTTCACATGTATTTGTTCAATACAGAGATTTTCTAAAGTCTTTATAATATAGACACTTTTCCTTTTCCTGTTGTTGTTCCACATTAGAGTTAATTAGAAAACACTTTTTAAAACTGTATTGACCACCAATCATGTACATGTTTTCTTACTATACCATATGACCACTAGGTGGTACAAATAGAGCATTTTACCCCAAATCTGAGCACTTTCACATTAAAAGTGGTGTCTGTGGCACCTAAATTGCACTTGTAAAATATGAAAGTTGCTTATTTAGCCAATATACTGTATGTGTAAGAGGGAAGTTTGTAGGCATGTTTGAATAGCTGGTCTAAACAGGTGCGCTAGCCAATGCACGTTGTTTGAGTTGGCTATCTGAAACCACAGAGAGAGATTACACACACTGTTCAAACAGAGCAACCCCCTCAGATGTTGATCTCAGACCTGCGGCCATTCTATAAAGGCCTGCTTTATTCTCAATCTGCGGTGGGACTCTGAATATGAGCCACACCCAGCTATTCAAACAGAATGAGTTAACAGGAAGAGATTTAATTTAACCACCTCAATAAGTTCAGTGTGATCACATACAGGCAGGTTTTACAGCACTATTACAGGTTTTAGCTAATCTTCTGAGGCTCTAGAACTAATTCTGTGATGTCTATTGTGCTCAGATGTTCACAAGATCTTACTTATATTTTAAGTAAGGGGTGAGGATAGCAAATGCCAGACTTATGCGCCTTAAAATGGTATAGGATAAGTAACATTACACACACTGTTCAAACAGAGCAACCCCCTCAGATGTTGATCTCAGACCTGCGGCCATTCTATAAAGGCCTGCTTTATTCTCAATCTGCGGTGGGACTCTGAATATGAGCCACACCCAGCTATTCAAACAGAATGAGTTAACAGGAAGAGATTTAATTTAACCACCTCAATAAGCTCAGTGTGATCACATACAGGCAGGTTTTACAGCACTATAACGAAGCTAATCTTCTGAGGCTCTAGAACTAATTCTGTGATGTCTATTGTGCTCAGATGTTCACAAGATCTTATATTTTAAGTAAGGGGTGAGGATAGCAAATGCCAGACTTATGCGCCTTAAAATGGTATAGGATAAGTAATGCTAATAATGTTGAAGTCACGTGACCAGCTGTATCATAAAATGAACTAGTTGGTATTTACCAGACTTGTGCACCATAAAATGGCAGAGGATCATTAATAATGGTGCTGTATGATTGGCTCCACCCATAGATTCAAATTTGCATATTTAAGACAAAGCTGATCTTACAAACTAGACAATAAGAGCGGTACTGAACACAGCTGCAGGCCTGTGAGAATCACATTACTTGTGATAGGGTAGAGACTGAACTATTTCTTCTTTTACTATGTTCCTCTTATGTATGTAAACAAAAATCAAGTGTTGCTTATCCATCAATGACCCTTTCTTTGTTTAACAGAATGATGTTTGCTGTCATACTGTTTTGTATGAGTGATTTTTAGTGATATCATAAAATGAACTAGTTGGTATTTACCAGACTTGTGCACCATAAAATGGCAGAGGATCATTAATAATGGTGCTGTATGATTGGCTCCACCCATAGATTCAAATTTGCATATTTAAGACAAAGCTGATCTTACAAACTAGACAATAAGAGCGGTACTGAACACAGCTGCAGGCCTGTGAGAATCACATTACTTGTGATAGGGTAGAGACTGAACTATTTCTTCTTTTACAAGGTTTTCTATGTTCCTCTTATGTATGTAAACAAAAATCAAGTGTTGCTTATCCATCAATGACCCTTTCTTTGTTTAACAGAATGATGTTTGCTGTCATACTGTTTTGTATGAGTGATTTTTCTCTGCCTGAATGCTACTTTTAGTCCATGAATGTACTGTTTTAGCTCTAGGAAAACAGCTTTTTGCAGGCAATTAAATCCCTACTCTCTTTCCCTTCTGCTTTTAAAGAAAATACACTTTCATAAGGGAGTGAAATTATTCTAAATAATTTTCTCAAGGACACATGTGCCATTTTTTTTTATTTCCAAATGATCAATCACACTTGCACAATGATTAGAGCAAAAACAAACAATATTCATTTTGTCTGATTGCTGATAATTAACCCTTAAATGTTTTTAATGGCATTTTCATGGCAGACACAATCTATAAAATTGTAAATAAAGACATTTTAGTCCTAATTGTGATAACATTTAGGACATACATTAACATTGTTTTTATGTTCCTGTCTATTTAATAGTTGACACCAGTGTTGAGTTGGTAGTCCTCAGTCATGCATGTTTTTGGAGATAACACATGATGGAGATACACAGCGTGCTGGATGATAGATGGGCGGGGCCATAGTTTGTAAAGTGACATCACTGCCCCTTTTAAGTACATTTCTGTACTTGGCCACATTGGGTGAAAGCCGGGAGTCCGAAGAGCATTTTGGTGGTTTGAATCTTTTTGTTTCTGAATTGCCACGTTAGGATCTGGTCAACATCCTTCACACTGGATTCAGCTCACGGTGAATCGCGAGGGCGAAGCAGTGGGTTGATATAAAAGTGTTTGTTTTTTTTGCACGCTTGTATATTTTAAGCGATTTGCACAAGGAACCACACGCCTCCCGTATCACCTTGATTCCGGTGTGAAGTCCTGGATTGTCCTCTTTTCCAGACTGAAGCAGAAGAGTAGAAACCAGGTGTTTTTTTTTTTTTTTTTTTTTTTAATACAATCATCTGAAGGTAAATGAATGACATTTTGGAGCATGTTTACTTTGCTTATCTTTCAACCTGTTTGCCAAGTTCAAATTCTCTGTCACTTCATTTGAGACCACAGTCAACTTGGTTTCCGTTCTGAATATTTTCTGAAATCAGGTTTGGTTTCGTTCCGATTTTGCATGTTTGGGTTGGGCTGGGCTTTTAAAGGATGCATCGGTTTACACACAAATGGTATGAACCGAACAGCGGCCTGTGCTCCGTTTATAACAACGATTCTTTTTTTAAATATACGTTTGCACTTAATCACAGCCCGTGAAGGGCATCGTAACTAATGACACGACTCGCATGGCTGCTGTGGTTACATGTAGCGATTCATCTTGGGATAAAACGAATGCTGTTTTTTGTTGTCGGGTATAAAATAAAACCTATTTTCTAATGCAAAATATAAATAGGTTTCCGTCAAATATTCATCTGTCTTGGAAATGCAAACAAATCGCTGCCTTTTGTGGGGGGTTTCTTCTAACATGGGGTCAGCTTAAAATGTACAGTGCTTGAGAATTGAAAGATTTGATGTTAAGGAATTCAATTTGAATCGAAACGCGAACTGATAGCATCGCTTCACTTTGACAAACGAATCTAGTGCACGCGCCGGTCCACACAGCTGTCCTGTGTGTTATTCTGACCCGCTCGCCTCTTTTTACCCGAATAAACTACTAAAGCTCCTAGAAAATCGATAGTGTGAGTGGACTATCATGGAGTACCGTCGTTTGATATGGATAAGGGCTGCCTGTGCTACTTCTCGGAGCTCGTCTGGTCGCTGCCTCGTTTTGACTGGAAATGATCGTTTGAATCGCGTTGATGTCATGCTGTGTTATCACCCTGCCCTTGTAACGCCAGCAGGTCTGTAGATAACAGCATGTCTCGCTCATGACACCCTGTGTGTCATTCTAGAATTCAGCTCTAGAAGTTCATGACCGCTTTTAGCGCTAATGGCCCGGGTATGTACGCGGCCTGAGGGAGCTGTTGCCCATTCACTAGCAGTTCTTTCATGAGCGGTCGTATTGTGTGGAAAACTGTTGATTATAAGGTGCATTCACAAATTTCTTGTCATAAGGGTTTAGACAGAGATGGGCTGAGAAATATAATTAAAATGATACTCGCATGAGAGGAAGACTCCAGACATATCAAACTTATGGCAAAAGCTGTTTAGTTCTACCTGAAGCGGGTCGCCCCTCATGGGTGTGGCCATGTTGAAGTCATGTGACCAGCTGTATTGTAAAAGTAACTAGTTGGTATTTTTAACAATATTATGTTCACTTTGTATAGTGATTTTTTTTAGACCGCACTCAAAGCTTAAACCTGTAAGTACTTCTAAACAATTGGCCTGTCGGTAAGCCCCTCCCCTCGAACGCAGATGAGCCAATGGCAGTCGAGTATCAGTTGAACTTGGACATCTTTAGGATTCAGCGCCATAGAGAAACATTGGAGGATCTGAAGCTCACTTTGGTTTGATGGTGTTTATGCTACAAAAATTATGTGTCTGGGGTACTCGGGTTATCCTGAGAGGATGGGCAATGGAATTTATTTTATTACATTTCCTAAACCCAAGCAAAATGGCCGTAAGCATTCAACTCTAAACCCAATGATGACGAAAACGTTCATTTTCTCCATATTAAAATGGTTAAATGTAAATTTAATGGTACCCTGCGATACATGAACAGTGTTGATCCTGCATGTTGTCATCTGCTATCGTGACGAACATAACATGAGGCTTCTCCCGTATGCACTGTGATCTGTAAACCCTCGCTTCCACATTAATTGAGTTACCCATCATATTTATTTTAAAATCTTTTATACATATATATACCTCCATGGCATATTTAATTCCCGCTTGAATGGTGGTCCTTTTGTGTCCAACATTGTTCAAGAACGTCTTGTGACAAGGCTTTCACACTGAGCAGCTCCGTTTGTTTGTCCGAGGGAGCAACCGTAACTAAGGGGGGCAGGGCTTACTGATAGGTCAATTAGTCTAGCAGTATACTCCCGATATAATGGACCTTTTTCACATTTCCGGGTTTCTCAGCAGCGGAAGTCGTCATAGTTGGGTTAACTTGAAGAGCAGTGAATGGGAGAGTACCACAAATATATTTTTTGCATTCCCATTTGCTCAAATACCAAAAGGAAAAACTCCACGATAGTGTTTTCATGACTTTCAATAAAAGGAAAAAAAATTGAGAGAGACTGATAACGGCAGTCAGAAGAGAGAACGATGTCAAATTTACCATCCCTCCCATAGACGCTGCATTAGAAACACCCTCGCATTAGCATTAACCGTTTTTTTTGTAATTTGATGCAAATGTTATATAATACGAAGAATAGTGTTATAAATGTATGTTTTTTTTGCGTCATCAGTCTTGTGAAAAGGGTCCATGGATCAGCATATGTGCTATCCGCCAGACAGTCCAAATAGAATAAGTACAAATGGAAAAAATGAATGCACCCAAGCTGCTAAGTGTTACCATAAAGCCCTAAACCACTGGTACTATTAGGCTGAATAAGAGACAGCTAAACATATACAAAAATTTACTGAGCTTACCTAATTAGCAAGAAATCAAATTCTTTGCAGGGTAATTTTTAACAGCCTTGTCGATGTCATATAATGGCTTATGTGAATCCACTATGATGTCTTGCTAAGACCATAATGGTCTATTGTGTCCTCCCAGTTGTCTCAGGAATTTGTCATACACTTTGTAATGCCAGCTGTTGTAATGGTTCCCCCCCAAAAACCTGATTGACTTGACTGAACAGTCCAGAACTAAAACCAATTTGATGCTAGAATGGTAGAACAAAGAATTCATGAAAATAGGGCCTGCTTGTCCTAAGATTTATGATGGCCCCTCTCTGTGTAGACGTGTGCCTGAGCTCAGGTCAGTCAGAATGGAGTTGAGCAGGGCAGCTGCTGTCATTAGTTGTTTTAGCCACACTCCTCAATGAAGGACTCCTGACACTAACGGCTTTGTTTAAACTGGACACCCACACCAGTCTCTCTTGCTGCTTGGCTAGACTTGGTTTACTTTTGGCCAATAGCGTTAGGCTATGTAGCGATTGATTATGCTTTCTATTGCATTCGGTGAGCTAATGATTTCATCACTTGTTGAGTCATCTTGTGCTGGAACCAATATAGGTTTTGTCATTGTAGTGTTGTTTTTTTGGTTTGCTGATTCCTCTCAAGTCTGTGGTCTGTATTTTTGCAAACTCTAGATTCTTTTTATGCCATTTTTCCACATTACTACTTTGCTGAGTTAAGGTGTGGTCAAGTTAGCAGAAGTTCGGCTAATTTTACATTAACAGTCATTGCAGTAGGAATCCACCTACTCCACCCACTATGTTTTAAAGGGATAGTTCACCCCAAAATGACAAATGTCATAGTTTACTCACTTCAAATTATTCAAAACCTTTTTTTCTGTGAAGCACAAACGAAGATATTTTGAAGAATGTTGGTAACCAAACAGTTGACGGTAGCCATCGACTTCCATAGTATGGGAAAAATGCTATTTAAGTCATTGTCTACCATCAACTGTTTGCCATCATTCTTCAAAATATCATCTTTTGTGTTCAACAGAAAAAAGAAACTCATACAGGTTTGAACATGTGGAGGGTGAGTAAAAGATGACAGAATTTTCATCTTTGGGTGAACTATCCCAGCACTCAATGTTGGGGGTAACTCATTACAAGTAACGCGAGTTACGTAATCAGATTACTTTTTTCAAGTAACTAGTAAAGTAACGCATTACTTTTTAATTTACAAGAGAATATCTGAGTTTTTCAAATAAGTAACGCAAGTTACTTTTTTTTCCCCCATTTATTGATTGACAGTTATCCTGTCCCCATGTTGAGAGAAATCAGATGTTACTGTAGATCTAAAATAAATATGAATATGCATTAATTCATCTCACTCACAAAAAAAACAGAGATTCAGTATTCCTTAAAAATGAATAAAAATAATGCAACTCAGAATATGACGCAAACCTGCAATAATTAAATGTTAAACAACACAAATATCCTTTGTATTTAATCCCATTCTATTAACCAATGTCTTTGCTTCTGACCTTCGATGATCCAGTTCAACCATACTAATAAGCAGAAATTACTATAGACAAACATTTGCGTGTCTTTTTTTATTATTGCTGAAGTGTTGAAATTTCTTCTGCATTCTACTGTATGGACTTAAATTTACTTTCCCTTCAGCCTGAGGCTTATTCATTTCACTTTTGGTGTGAAAAGGCTTTTATATTTGCCAAAAATAGAACTTTTTTTATTTTTAAAAATAAACAAGCAAGCCCTGTCCAGATTTAACAAGTAACGCAAAAGTAAAGTAACGCATTACTTTCCATAAAAAGTAACTAAGTACCGTAATTAGTTTTTTGTGGAGTAACGCAATATTGGGGGAAGTCGTGGCCTAATGGTTAGAGAGTCGGACTCATAACCCAAAGGTTGTGGGTTCGAGTCTCGTACCGGCAGGGATTGTAGGTGGGGGGAGTGAATGTACAGCACTCTCTCCCACCTTCAATACCACGACTGAGGTGCCCTTGAGCAAGGCACCGAACCCCCAATTGCTCCCCGGGCGCCGCAGCATAAATGGCTGCCCACTGCTCCGGGTGTGTTCACGGTTTGTGTGTGTTCACTGCTGTGTGTGTGCACTTTGGATGGGTAAACACTTAGCAGATTTTGAGATGTCTGGTTGGCTCCAGCTTAGTCGTGACCTCACAGTGGGGTGGTCAAGTTCAACAAGCAGATGCCCAGCAAGGAAGAAGCTCCAATTTTCTGTCGGTTTGCTTATGCACCTATCCATTGCCTTACAAATACTCTAGCCTGAATTCAATCATATGTTAATAAATTCTGTTCACATTTAATAATATTAACTGGATTGACTCCAGTTGAAGTAATGTGAATTCCGGACTACCATCAAATCCTGGTACTCTTTTGTTTCCTATGAAATGGCTTCCTGAGTTTCTACTATTGCT